TCTTAGGACTTAATAGTAGATTTCTTTTTTTTTTTTTTGGCATTACATTCTTTTGTTTGCCACAGAATTATTCACAATAACAAAAAAATGGATTTCACCTTAGTGTTCATCAGCTGAGGAATGTTTCTGATTTTATGTTTTTTTTTTTTTTTTAGCTTTAATTGAGTTTATTGGTACATTTTAGGGATACAGTACAGTTACATTCATTGTTGGGATCTTGTACCTCTACATGACAAGTCTTGGTTCTCACTTTTTCCCCTTGTCCCTGCCCTCCCTTCACCCCCTCCTCCCCTCCCCATCTACAAACATTTTATTTCCATCTCTTCATTATCTCACATTTTCCCCTACCCATCCCACCTTCCCTACACCTTTAGCTCCTTTCTTCCCATTTGTAAATGTCAGTAATCTTATTAGGATCTTATGTATTATTGCAGATTATTCACACCAGCAAAACTATTCGGTATTTACACATGTGTGACTTATTTATTTCACTTAGGAGTATATCTTCAATATGTATCCATTAGAAAAGGATGACCCCTGAGTTTTTGCTGAGTCATCCAAGTAAATACAAAATAGCTGAAATTGATAAATCTATCACAAATCAATATAGTGAAGGTTGAAAAATTAAGTGGTCTGTTTGGACCATATTAATTCTAAAATTGGTATGACTTAAATGTAGAGATGCTAATAAAGCAGATCCATATATAAGTCTACAGCAAAATGAAAGAATATTTAGTTTGAGATTTAAATTAGGAATCCTCTGTATATAGATCTGTAAAGCCTGGTACATTGATAAATTCTATCTAAAGAGAAGAGAGACCTTTTTGAAGATGGTTTTTAATATCAGCATTAGTTTAGGCTAATAGTCTGTGTATTTTCATCATTAATTTTCTTGGGTTTCATGTAACTTTTTTCCTGGTCATATCTAATATTTTTTGTTTCCATTTTCACAAACTTTAATTCAATAATTAAGTTAAAGTAGCCCATGGACAGCAGCTTCTCTGCTACTATTATTTTATTGCAGCTTCCCACTGGGTTTGACAGAGGCTTGTTCTCAGACAGCCAACAAATAAGAGAGCAAATAAGAGAATAGTTGAGCAGCTTAGCTATGCATGCTTAAATCAGAGAGTTTTATTTTTTCAAGACTTTAAAGTTTCCTGTTATATTCTTTGTTTTTGGCTGCTTTTTGCTTGATTGTCTTGTTATCTGTTCTAAGCCTGACAGCCATGTGAGGTCAAGCAAATAACTGAACTTGGAAAATCATCACAGTTTTTCAGTGAACTATTTTTGAAAATTGGAAATGAAGGATGAATATTCACAGATATGTGAGCTTCCATTTTCTAGTTTGAAGAAATGTTATTCCAGAATAATGGTAATTTGTAGAATGTATATATATATATTCAGTACATTTTATGGCTTTTATATTAAGTAAAGGTATTTTGTTAATATGATCCCTGCAGTTGATAATATAACAGTTTGCAAGTGAGACTAACGAAATGGTGTCCCATTTGGGCTGTAAAGGAGTCAATAGCTAGTTTAGAGGTCCTAGAGGCAGCATTTGGGAAAATTTAACTTGTCCAGCTTGGTCCACTTACATTGCCTTTCTATCTTTGCAATTCCTTGGGGTGCCTTCTTAGTCTTAACACTCAAAAAAGCTTTTGGGAAAGGATTTCTGTAGATAACTCAGTTGGCTCTGACAGGCTGTGAAATCTAATCTAGAGCCAAGATAAGACTAAAGCTCATTTTTGTATTTATTTGTTAACACAGAAAATATCATTACTCTTTAGAGATTATTCAAAAAGCAATTCCACATGAAAAATGTGAGCTTGCATCTTGATGCCAGGACTGTATTCATTTTTATTTTTAATCTTTTGTTAAGAGTTTAGAAAACAAATGGATAGAAATTCTTTTTTCATCCCTGAATTCAGTCTTAAGTAATGATCAATTTTTCTGCCAAAAGAGAAGAAAAAGGGAAAAAAAATCATAATTTTATAATGTTGACCTATTGAACTAATGAGTAAATTGGAATGCAGGAATTTTAAAATGGCTTGCATAACATAGTGTAGCATCTATTGAAGGCTCAATATGAAGCCATTTTTCCATGAACATATGTAATAGGTGTTACAAGAAAAATCAAATTTAGAGAGGTTGCTGGTATCTTGGGTTGTTCTATTTACAATTCCATATAGAAATTTGTCCCATTTGGTAGATAGTAGGTTTTGAGAGTAAAAGGGCTGGCTAAGAGAAGGCACTGTTTTTCTCAACCCAAAATAATAAAAAGAATACTCACTTGAAATTCACACAGCACAGGATGATTAATTCAACTCTGACCGGGTACCTACTATGTGCCAGGAACTGAGTTGTGTTCTTGGGATGTAAAGATGAATGAGCTTTAGGCAGTCTCTGCAAGAAACAGTTTCTATCCTTGGCTCTAAGATTAAGTGCTGACTAGATCGATGGTGTTTGCGCTCTTACATTTTTAAAGTTTCAGAACTTTGGTGTTCCCAATTGTGATGTTTCACACTATTGTGCCACCTTTACTGGCATGTAGAGTACCCAGGTATTTGGTTCAGCTTTATTGTAGGTGTGTCTGTGAGGGTATTTGTGGATACCATTAACATGTGAATTGGTTGACTATGTAAAGCAGATTGTCCCTCACAGTGTGAGGGGGCATTATTCGACCCATTTGGGGCTGAATAGAGCAAAAATGTCTGGTCAAAGCAAAGTCTTTCTCTCTGAATGTTTTCAGGCTGGCGCATGGTTCTTCTTCACTCAGATTGAGACTGTGCCACTGTTTTTCTGGGTCTCTGACTTGCAAATAGCAGATTATGGGACTTCTTATCCTCCACAATTATTTGAGCCAATGTTTTATAATAAATGATATTATACATGAATCTATATGTTATATGTGCGAATGTGTGTATTAAATATATATTCATATATTCTGTTGGTTCTTTTTCTTTGGAGTTCTATTATATTAGTGCAGATGTACAGAAATAAAGTAGGCCAGTTCTACAGAGGAAGACCCTACAAAAACCCAGGAATCCTCCTTCTTCTGAAACATGCGAAATTCTTCAGGACTACTGATTCTGAAAGGAAAAGTCTAGATTCACATTTAGAAGTGCACTGTTGAAAATTTACAAATATATCAGACTAAATTAAAAAGCATAGGTCAGACAACTGAAGAAAAGGGCTTTCCACCACCCAGAAAAACATGTATATATGTCACACAACCCAAACTGGGTTTATGATTCATGAAAAAGGGACAAAACAATTTGGAGGAGGGGGTTTGTATAATTTATGATAGGAAAAAAAACAGTTCCCAATGCTTGATGAGAACAAAGGAAGCTATTATATTCATAGCTACTTGTCTTAATTTTTAAGATAATATCTTTAATTTTCATGTATACCTGGATTGGTCAAAGCTCAATGACAAAGCAGATCTCCAGATTTCCATTTAACAACACAAAAAGTAGCTACTTGATTAAATTTCATGTAGTATGTAGCCATCCTATAAGGCGAAACCCATAAAAGAATCAAGTGGGAAAAGCTTAGAGTTACTGTGGTTTTCAAAAACAATAGTAAACTAGAACAATTAGCCACAGGTGTACTCACTCAATGCTCTTCTTTTGTGAGGGCTTCTTTTATTTTAGAGAACCTTGTTCCAAAGGAAGATTATGTCCCAATTGTTGCTATTTTTGCCCAAGACAAAGATACCAGGTGACACAAGCAAGCAGGCATCAGCCACATCAACATGTATAGAACGTACGCTGTGTGAGCAAAAACTGAGAGAAGGATGCAGAGAGAGTCAGAGTGATGTCTTCTTTTTTCAGAAAAGTTGCATTATAAGAATATAGTAAAATGTCACCTAGTGATGACAGGATAGGGCTCTTGGAAGAAAAACCGTAAAAGGGGAAAAAAGAAAAAGAAGAAGGAAAAAGCTATTACTTGAAAACTTCAGCTTAAAATCCAAGTGGTCTATTTAATCTGAGTTTAGCACGAATAACAGTCAAATACTAAGTTCACACAAACTTCTTTTGCAGGTGAGATGCTTCCTTTGATCCTGAGGTAATACATAAAATATTGGCTGAGGGGCTGAAGTCAGGTGATGTGAACTAAGAGCTAACTGGATGTTGTTTGTAGGACTCAGGAAAAAATCATGATAGAAGATTAAAAAATTTAATAGCTAGTTAAACGTTTTCACTAACTACTAAATAGCGATTCATGTTAATTAGGTTAAGTTTCTGGGCAGCTGAAAAGTTACACAGTTTTTGCTGTCTTACCAAACTTTTGATGAGACATGTCAATCTTGAAGACAGCCTCCCATGAATTAGGTATGTTCTAGATGGGTAACCTGTGGATTTAGAGAGTAAAAAAGACCCTGTTTGTAAGTTTAAGTATTTTCTATAAAATGTTCCACAAATGATGAGCAATATTCTATGAACAGCTCCATTTGGCTTATGTAAAGCAACAATAACAATAAAATAACATGTTTTTTTCCTATTTGAGTATAGTTAACTTTTTCTGCCCATGACTTTGTGGTATTTTTGTAGAGATGTGTTGGCATGCAAGTATTTAGGAAGCTGAAGTTGCAATAGCAGTTGAGGACTTTGATTTTCTTGGTATTGTTAGAAGAACAGTGGGGACTTGACAACTAAGAGACCTATCTCTGATGATGTGAGTATCAACGGGCCAGCCAACTCCAAGTACCCTCAATCACTCTCCTTCTGGGGATCAGGACTGAGAGTGGATCCAAGCAGAGAAGAGAAGAGGTGTATTTTTCAATTACTATAAGTGTATGTTGACCAAAAGCATATAGGTTTTGCTGATACCTCCTGATGAGTACAGATTTTTAAGCTATTGGGACTATGTTTTGTGACCTCTTTGTATCGATTTCCCTTGTCAACACGATGTAGAAAGAAAATGGAGGTTATCAAGAAGTAGTTGGATGATCATACAAAAAGTCCAGAGCCAGGAGGTGATCCTAGAGATCTTAGAAGTGCCTTGTCTTCCCCTTCATTCACAGGTTCTAGGACAGAAAGAAAGAACAATGCATTTCATGGTTTATCTCCTGGGTGCTGGCATTTTCACAGAAGTGGTAGGCATATGAGAGTAAATAGTCCATGACAATAGAATATAAGGTGTGCTAGAATCAGAATAAATCTGGGTTGCCTGCGCTAGCATGTACAAGATCAGGGAAGGGTTTTCTGTTTTGTAATTTACATGTATTAATGAGATTTTCTGTTGCTGAGAATATTACCCAACACTCAGAACCTGAGAGAATGGTTTGATTTGTGTCACTTTCAGAGGATTCAGTTCATGGTTAGCTGGTTTCAAGGCAGAAGTATCATGGTTGATGGGCATCGTGAAGCAAAAGCGCTTAGTTCATGGTGGCCAAGAATCAGAGCAGGGAAATAACCTCCAGAGAGGAAGATGCTAAGGACCATATACAGTATTTAAGGCCAAGATTCCCTGACCCACCCAGTTGTACTAGATGTGGCCTTATGAACACCCAAAGAGATCCCAAGCCAATCCAGTTGACAGTTAAGCTTAACGAGCATGCCACATCTATATTAAATATTAAAGATCAAATATAACTAGGCAAGAGTAAGGAGAGAGTGTATACCAAATACAGGAAACTGAACTTGCAAAGTCTTGGAGACTACAAAAACTCTGCTATACTTGAGAAACAGCAAGTAATTTGAGCCAAGGTATGGTAGCTGATTTGGAGGGAGTGGGGTGAGGATGTGACAGTGATCCAGATGAGGCTTTGTACTGCTCATTAAAGGTTTTGCTCTTTGTCCCCTTCTAAGAACAAGAAGTGAGTCAGTAGAGTTTTGAGATGGGGCACGATATAGTAAGCTTTTCTAGTTACCACTGTGAAGCACTCAGAAGAGGAGAATTGGGGTGTAGGAAGACCATTTAAAATATAGTATACTGATAAGGGTGAGTGATGGTAGAAGCTTCAGCTGAAATAGAAATAAGGAAATAGTGACAAGGAAAAGTAGATTAATTCCAGAATTAGTATGTATGTATTTTTCTCATGCATGGGAAATCTGTTTATTATTTTTAGTTGTAGATTTTTGTAGAACTTGCCTCAACTCTTGACTGTGCTGCCCATGTGACCACAGCCCCCAAGGTTCCTAGCCATATGGTCTATCTAGAGAATTTTAGTGAGACCAGGGTGGTTCTTCGATTAGTTTTTAGGATTATATGAATTGAAACACAGATACTTGAGTAAATGAATTTGACCTGAAAAGGCATATAACTGTTGAATAAAGGAGAGAAACAATCTAAATTGTTACCATTAAAGGCAGGGAAATAAAACATATATATATGAGACAAGACTGAGTGTAACATTTGAGTGACTGAGCATTGCTTGAAGCTTTTATATCCGGTTCTTAATTACTACACACAGAGATATCTCTGTAACAACCATATCTTTTTGTACTTGAGCCAGTTAGGGTAAGCTTTTATTTCAGCTTCCGTTTTCATATGTCTTATCTGGACCCTTAGCAATATTGTAGGAGTCCCTTGCATAGTTTCGAATTCATGTGTTGCTGTCTGCACAATAAATAGATTTGAAACCACTGAGCCTTTAACGACTCTAGCTCTGTATTTACATTTGCCTCAATTTATGTGTTGGAAAGTAAGAATTGCTGTTTCCATGCATTTCTCATAATCATAGTTTCAGTATCCAGTTTTTAGCTTTGAGGTGATGTGTTTGTGAGCTCCCTGAAAATCTTTATTTCCACTAAAAGGAAAGGTTAAGAGACTGACCAAAGCAGACACACCCAGCCTATTTGAAGCTTGTGGAAGCATCCGTTGATGTATTTGATTGGTACTGACCATACTGTCTTACAGACTGCTGCTTTGACTATGGAATAGGTCATGAGAAGTGACTGTTCCACTTGACAGTAAGCTTAAAAGCATGAGGTGCTCAGATTTAATGTTCAAACTCTAGTCTTTTCAGAACAAATAGGCTCCTACAATTTGAAAACTCTGAAGCGAGTAAATGGAACTGAAAGCATCTTAGAGCTCCTTGTTGACACCACATGGTTATAAAAACTTCAGACTCTGCAAAGAGGTCGTAAAGCAAATTGCTCCTTCACAAGTAAACCGATTAAAGGGAGACACAGCTTAGACATCTTGGAGCCTAATGAGGGTATTGCAGGGAAATGATGCTCCTTTTCTAGAACAAATAATAAATTTTTGTTATGTGTGAGAAACAGAATTACTCATAGGAACAAAGTCAAGGGACAGGGTGGACATTATGTTTTATTTTCAATAACACTGTGCTGAGACTCAATAGTCTTGCCTAATCTGATGTCAACTGAGGGACTCTGGGTCAGTAAACTAATCACTCTGCTTGCCTTTTCATATTACAAATGAGAATGCCAATTCACTCAATAGACATTTGCTGAGAGAATGTTATTAGCCAATTCTTTCCACATTTGTTGTCTCACTTCATCCTCATAATGAGCCCATGAGGAAGCCATTACTATTCATTCATATTAACAAGGGGTACAATATAACATGTCTGAGATTATTACGCTTTTTAAGTAGCAGGAGTAGGGCTCAGCCCCAACTTTCCAAGTCCAGCGCTCTTCCTGCCATGGTAATCTGCTTTCCTTGCAGTTCAATTGCTTTATTGATGTATGTAATTATATTTATTGATGTTTGTTCTCTTTTAGGCATTATTATTCAATTGCCTTTGGGTATGGTTATCTTTCGAAGTGTATGCGCTTGAAAGGAAAAGGCCCAAATTTTAAAATTTTTGGACCTGTTTCTTTACCTTCTATATCACAGAGTTCTAGATTTTCTTTCATTTCTCCACTTGTTGATTCACTGTTAAACAAAATATGAATCAAATTGCTTAATATATGACAAGTACTGTTTTAGAAGCTTGCAATATATTAGTGAACAAAATAGTTATATTCTTACATTTATTTATATTATAATAGATTGTATTTACTTATATTCTTATGGAAGAAGTAAACACAGTCATGTGCTATTACAAAAACATTTTAATAAACAGAGGAGCATGTTCTTAATAGTGATCCCATAAGATTACAATGGAACTGAAAAATTCCTATTGCTTAGTGACATCATAGTGTAGCACATTGTGATATAAACAAACCTACATGAAACTATATAGTTCATACAGATATGCACAGTGCATATTTGTTAATGATAAGAAATGACTATGATGCTGGTTATATAATTATTATGCTATACTATTAATCAGTATTTCAGAGCATACTGTTACTTACAAAACTGTTTGCTGTGAAACCGTCTGTCATATTATGCTGGCAGTAGCCTCATACATCTCTTGCTTACTGTATTTCTTGAGAACATCATTTTCTCGTGTGCTTGCTTTAGTTCTGTGCTTCTGTTGCTTTCATGGTTATTCACCATGGTCCTTTGAGCAACAGACCAGCCCATGTATGTGTACTATGGGACCTGAGTGTGCATCTTGGTGCCTCAGTTCATGATTACTTAATCTATTCTACAATTCTGGAAAAGATGCAGAGTTTGCAAATAAAAACAAAATTTTGCCAAATGATTCTGTTTGAGAACCAGATTTTTTTTGGGGGGGGAGCTTTTGTGAGCCGAGGTAGCACTGTGTTAGGCTATATCAACTAGCTTTGTGTAAGTAACTTTTAGAGTGTTTACATAACCACAGAATCATCTGATGAATGACACATTTCTCCAAAGGTATCCTTGACATTAATTGACTCTAAATAATAAATGGCATAAACCATGAAGGTAAGGGAGTGCTAAGTATGACTTTAAAAAAAAGTAGAGCAGGTAAATTGTGAATGTGGAAAAAGGATTGGTTTGGAATTTTAAACATGGCCATCAAGGTGAACTTCATTGATAACTGCATATTTGTTACCTAAGGTCTCTCAGGGATTCCTTCTGACAACCTCAAGCTTTAACTTTGCTTATGTAAAGAGATGCATGGCACAGGCTTTGGCTTTAACCCAAAATTCACTGACCCAGATTCATTTCCCAGCAGAGAACTTTAGATCAATATCTTCCATATTCATCCACACAAACGCTAGGAGCATTAGGTAGCAAGGGCCAAGATATAGCCTGAATTTATGTTTTGTGCTCCAGTGCAGACACCTCAGTATCAAGACATGGGGCTTAACATAATACTGACCTTGGTAAGATAAACACGAGCTGCTGAGCACCACCGATGTGTAATCAATAGGAAGGTAACTGGCTGCAAGGGATTTTACATATCAGCTAAATCAGAAACCTAAAGGGCAAAAGCTCCTCTAAAGAACGTTAGTCAGATTTGTGGGGCTCACTCAAGGAGGTTGGGTCCTTGCATGCATTATGAGCAGACATCACTATGACAATTTTTCATTGGTGACAGTCATAATCCTTTTTCATTCTGGTTTTCTAGTTGATATTCATGGAAAAATGCTGGATTGGCAGGACTGTCATCAGAGATCATGTGTTTGTGTTTTATGCTTTTTAAAAATGGATACATATTGAGGATATACTCAAGTGAAATAAATATGTCACACATATGTAAATACTAAATAGTTTCTCTGGTGTGAAAAACTATAATAGTACATAAGATCCTAATGATATAATTGACCATGTGAAATAGGAAGAAAGGGGCTAAAAGTGTAAGGAAAGTGGGAAGGGTAGGGGAAAGGTAATAAGGGAAAAAATATATGAGACAATGAAAAAAATGGAAATAAAGTGTTTGTAAATGGGGAGGGTAGGAGGGGGTGAAGGGAGGGCACGGACAAGGGGAAAAAATGAGAACCAAGACCTGTCATGTAAAGGTACAAGATTCCAATGATGAATTTAACTGTATTGTATACCTGAAATGTAGCAATAAGAGAAAATGCACTCAATGAGAGAAAAAAAATGCTGTTTAAAAATGTTTCCCACCAATTTGTAGTACTTTATTTTCTCTGCTTTGTTTTCCCCCTTTTCTTTATCCTTCCTTTACTTTGGTGTTTCTTTGGGCGGGGGGCTGCCCTTGCAAGGCAGGCAGTGGAACAACCCCAAGCCAAATCCCCAGCCCACCTCCCTTTACTTGGAAAAGTTGCCTTCTGCTTTGTTTTCTGCTTTATTTGTTATTTTCATCACTGCTCTTTCTTTTCTCTCTCCTTTCCATTCTTACTTTAAAAAATATTTATTGTGAAATTACTTTGCACAGGGCCAAGCATTATGTTGAGTGTTGTATAGCAGTAGTAAAAAAAAAAAAAAAAAAAAAAAAAAAAATACATGCTTTCCTTTGTGGAAAATGTTGTCTCTGCTAAGAGAAAGTATTGTACTTCTGATCCACAAATACATCTGTAATAACTCTGGTAGATTTTATAATAAAAGAAAATGCTGTAAGTTAGAGTAACCAAAGACGTCTCATGTGCTAGGGAATAGGGAAGGCCTCCTGACTTTAAAGAGATATTGTGCTGAGACTTGAAAGAAGCAAAAGAGCACCCAGTTTTATGGCAGGAAAGTATCCTATGAGATACAAAGCACCATAATAAGAATATTAAGAAGGAGAAGAGCTCAGGGCATGAGAAAATATTCCAAGGCACTGTGTCTGGGTAATGGTCTGGGAGGCAGCAGATTCCAGGCACATTTCCCTTTGTAGCCTATTGTTTCCTTATACTCATTTACTTTGGGCATGAATAAAATATTTATCTGAACATGTTCTTTGGTTTTCTGGGTTAATAAATGAGCAACTGCAGCATAACACAGAACATGATGAAGGTGACAAAAGTAGAAAAAAGAAAGGTTTTGAGGATAGAAGTGAGACATTCCAAAGGACACAGAGCAGTTTTACATGGCAACTATGTTTTTCTCTGACACATAAATTAGCCTGGTTGTTCAGATACAAAATGTGTATGGGAATAACAGTTGGAAGGATAATAGATTTGAACAAGATTTGCATGTACATGTGTGTTTTTCTGTGTACACTTGTGAATGTGCATAGAATATGCCGAAATGTAGTTAGGCCTAATTCACAATTAAATCTTTCGTTGTTCACTTAAAATAGGTCATTTTATTTCAATATTCTCTTTTGTTAATTAATGCCTCTTTTATGCTTTTACTTTGAAAATATTGTTTCTTTATTTTCTTAATAACTTAGAGAAATTTATATCTACATGTACGCATCAACATATACATAGTATTTTATTTATAGATGAGATGATGGGTTGTGCTTCAGTGCCTTCCATTTTCCCTGGCTCATTGTATTTGAGTGATGGAAATACAAAACATGTGGGAAAGCACAATCCTGTAGTTCTGGGAAATGAAAAAGGTCACGTATCATAAATTAGATCATGGTAGCATTGTTTATAGGTACCAGTAACAAAATGGGTATGCAACCTCAGAAATAAATGTCTTCTTCCTAGACATAACACTTTAGTCAAATAGCTTTGTGTGTGATGCATGAAGAGTTACTTTGTTCATAATATATTTTGAGCAGAAATTTTTGAAAGTAACCTCACACTATACTTTTTCCTAGAGTCTGAGTTTAACTTATTGAGAAAAGAAATAATTCTTAATTTATTGACTTGCTTTTATAAAGCATTAAAAATAAAAATTGTTTGGAATATAGCAAATGTATCATAATACATGATGCAAAATATTTCAAGCTGATATTTGGATACCAGTTATGTATTCCATTTGTGTTTTCTGACAAGAGACAATCAAAGGACTTAGGAAGTCAGTGAACACAGAATTGGTTTGGTTGTTGCATGTAATTAACAAAATGGACTGGCGAGAGATGATACAAATTAGAATTAAGATAACAGCACTATACCTGAAAAAACAGTAAGAAAATAAGTCATAATTGAACATAGTGAAATAAGGAGATGGAAAAATTGAGAATAATGTATGTTGTTTTAAATCATTCACTGGGTAATAGAGAGGAGGTCAGGAATATTAGGAAGACAGTGAGTTACATAGGTGAATGTAGTGGGCTGGACTTGTGTATTGGACGTCTAGAGGGAGATCTTTCAGGAATTAAATTTATAGGCCAGGAAAATGATTGGATGAAAGTGATAGATTTGGAAACTACTGGCATATCAGTACAAGATTTCTGCTGAACGGCATTTGGTATAGATTCCAATAAAGGGTTACCAATGAACAAAAATTATATTGTAGACATGACCTTATTAGTGGATAGCTATGCTATTTATATATATTACCTAGCATAGTTTCTTTCAAACGAATCTCAGAGAAACTCTCTCACCTTCATTAAAAATTTGTCCTGATAATAAAATGTTAGTATGAATAAAATGCATCTGAGGGTCATACAGATTCAGTACTTTCCTTTCTTCCTTTCCCTGCCTCCCTCCCTCATTTCCTCCTTCCCGTCCTTCCTTCCTTCCTTCCTTCCTTCCTTCCTTCCTTCCTTCCTTCCTTCCTTCCTTCCGTTCAATACTTATCAATTGCCCCAGTATTTACAATGAGCCCGGGATTTGGAGGGAAAGCATGGTAATTAGGCATAGCTAAAGATTTCTTTGGACATGTCCATGAGTGAGTGTCAAGGTTTACTTTTGTATTTTTAGGGTCAGGAAATTCCTCTCTTATATTACTTGGGATCATTTGGAATATAAATTTTGGAGACTGCCTGATGTATAACTGAAAATCTGTAGTATTCCTTTAAAGATCTCCATATATACAACCATTATAAAATTAATTATATTAATCCTCTCTCCTGCACTTTTGGTATCTTTTCAAATTCATGATGTCTTCTACAACCATTGTTTGATGATCTTGCCTGTGTGCACTTTTTTTAAATATGAAGTTGAATTTTTATTTATTTATTTTTTAAATTGAGTTTATTGGTACAATTAGGTATACAATACAGTTACATTCATTAGTGGGATCCTGTACCTTCACATGACAGGTCTTGGTTTTCATTTCTTTCCCCTTGTCCCTGCCCTCCCTTTACCCGCTCCTCCCCTCCCCATTTACAAACACTTTATTTCCATTTTTTCTTTTTCTCCTATTTTCTTCTTTTCCCTTATTTCCTTTCCCCTACCCTTCCCACTTTCCCTACACCTTTAGCCCCTTTCTTCTTATTTTACACTATTAATTATCCCATTAGGATCTTGTATACTATTATAGTTCTTCTCACCAGAGAAACTATTCGGTATTTACACGTGTGACTTGTTTTACTAAAGGGAAATCACTGCAGTTTAAGAATCATGACTCATCCATTATTTTCTTTTATTTTTCTTCTGTAATGTATTTTTTCTTTAGCTTTGCCTATCAAAATCTTAACTACTTTTTAGATATTATCTCAAGTATCTGTTTTGTAAGTTTTTAAGGATTCTCCTACCTAGTTTATTCCTGTGAACCTCACAAATATCTCTATGGCATGCTATATCCTATGTTATTCTTTTTTTAAGTAAAAGAAGTTTATTAACATGATACTAAATTTCACATTACAAGTAAACTGTAAAGAACCATCATTTACCAAGTTTTGGTATAGTATTAAGGACAATATTAAAAATTCTGTGCAAAAGGCATTAAAGTATCTTTTTCTTATCCAGTTACATGTATATAAAACATTTATGTACTTCATATATTTCTTTTCTTTTTCTTTTTTATTGGTACATGTTGGCCATACATAATAATCACATTAATCAGCAGGAGTTTGTAATATATCTCAATTCTTCTTTTTTCCCATTCCCCTCCCCTCCCTTCAATCTTTCATCCTCTTCCCATTTGCAAAAGATTTGTTTCTATTTTTCTCCTTCCATTCTCTTCTTAAAATTGCCTTTGCCTTTCACCTCCGTTATATGCATGCTTGTTATTTGCTGTTTTCATATTCTCCTGACAGTTTGTGAATTCTTTAAGGGTGTGGCCTCTGTCTTTTGAATTTTCCATATTGTGGCATAGTGTTTTGTATATAATATATGAAGGAACATTTTCTGAATTGATCAACCACACCAAATGTCAAAAAATTGACAGAAATGATCAAGTGCTAGATGAAATCACCCTCCAGATCTCAGATTTAGTACTCTTATCTGAGTAAGGAATATTCATGGGGAGTTCAAACCAATATACTGTTTGAGTCATGCTGGAGCTCTTTGGGCAACTGAGAAATCATGGATTCACATAGGGCTTGTCCTACCACCTTTCTCTTCAGAAACTTCCTGAGCAGGAACCTGAAGACTTGCAAGCATTCTGATGGTGGTTTTCTCAGAGAACAGTCTCAAATTAACCTTCTTGAATTGATCAAGAAAATGATATGTTAAAATACCACGATTAACTCTTTCAAATTACTGACCTACTGCTA